ATGCAGATTCTATTTTGTTACTTTATATATATTTTAATAAACATACAATGGTATTGTGAAATTTTTCTTTACAATATAGAAAAATTAATATTAATTACTTACAACTAACATAATTTTAGAGAAAACCGATCTTTGATATAAATGGATATGCAGGAAAGAAAAGTGTGACAGAAACCAGAAACATGATTATAAAAATGCTGTATTGATCAAGTATTATTTGCTAATATAACGAGATTAATATAGTAATTATTTCCAGGAATAGAAGGAATACTAATTTAATTCGTAGAATTAGATAATCTTTGACTATGATGGCAAATCTTACGCAAATAGTAAGATAAGATGCTCATGAAAGCATATGTCAAGTACACATATTTTAATCCTTCAAATATTGATTTGTGTATTTTAAAAGAAAGTAAAAAATGTGAAAGCAATAATAGATTAGATTAAATAAAGACCTCAGAATAATCCCTAATCCTATATAAAGTAACTGACAATAATGAAATTTATTTCGTGCATTGAAGCGACTGTCTAAATATAGGTATACTATAAAAACTTTAATCTTTCTTAATAACTTCGCGTCAGCGAATTTTGCACTTCCACAATTGTTGCAAATGCATGCAATTCATAATTAATGCGAATGTATTTATATAATATCTGGAACGTTTTCATTTGCTGTGAATAAATGTATATGACATCAGATTAATATGAACATTCGTGTACTCTCTCAAACATCAAAATTGTTACAGATTCAGTGTGTTAACGTTTATTTACAACAATTATTAAATCTTTCGATCAAATTCAGTTTAACGGGATATCGAATAATAGTCATTATTCAAGCTTTATTCTCGATTTGTTCGTATGCGAAATTATTTGATAGAACCAAAATGCTGAAGATGACAGATTTCATGCGGAATTTATTCCAGATATTCTCTTTTTTAACATAAACGCGATTCAGAGAATACCTTCACAAAAAACCAACCGATATGAAAACAGACGTTCTTGAGGATAAATTCGTGTCAGCTTTCCAGAAAATGAGTTTTTCGGGCTATCCGCTCGAGACATTCCATTTTGTTGACCCCTGCGCTATACACAACTGCTGTTTACTTCGAGGCTTTGTTCACGATCAGAGAATGGTTCTTGCAATCTAATACTTCTTTATAGGTTCTATATTCTCTCTGTTTTTGGAGTTTGTAGACGGTTTATCGACTTTTAACGTAATATTAAACCTGCCTCATAAAATCGTTGAAACCGTGCCTCGATCAGATTTCTCCTCGAACCTTCATTAATATCATGCAACTCCTAGCAAATGAGATATCTGCGTCTAATAGTGATGATCGGATTATTATATCGGTAGAATGAACGAACAGATAATTCCCGCTGCGACACCCAGAAGCGATTCATTATTAGTAGATTGCGGCTGCGTGTGCATGATAAATGTGCAAAATGCATATGACATTTATGCATGAAAAATATGCAAAATATGCTTGGAAATATGCAAAATTTGTACGAGAATATACAAAATATTCACGATATCAAATATATATACTGTATTCAGTGTTAGGTTTGATATTAAATATCAAGAATTGTTTTATAGTTATTCTGATATATTATACTTTAAATTATACTGTAATTTGAATGCACGTCCACGGCAAATAACATATGCAAGAATATTGCAATAATATACTGTATATCTTTATAAATATACAAAATATATGCAATATGCAAAATATGCAAATAAAAAATTTATATATATATATATATATATTTTTGGAATCACCTGATTATAATATTTTCTACGTAGTGTATTTAATAGTGTACCTATTTTCTAAAAAAATATGTATTTGCATAAACATCCACGCTCTAATTATTAACAACTCGTCAAAGCCAATATACCTCCATATTTCCATTTACTACGTTGCGAGTATGAGTAATTTATTATTCAAAGAAAAAAGTTCCCCATCCTACGAGGGTGATTATTATTCCTTGAACTTGGTACTTATTTGGTATGTAGATATTGCATATGCATATTTCCCTTTGGTGTCGAGCACCAAATACTGTTACTGCTTTGGAATAGTGTTTCTGTAGAAAGTATGATTTCTTTTGATTATTTGATTACTGAAAATAGATATTCTAAAAATTTCTTCTATGCTGACTGAGAACTTCAATCCCAATCTTTATAACAGTACGATTAAAGTAAAGAGTCATTGTTCGATTGGTATTAAATTCTTTCGATTCCCATTTAAAGGGTGCAAAAGGGTTTTTAACTTTTCCGATTATTCGATATATCATGAAT